TTTCAGACTGAGAAGTTGGAATTTCCCAGTTCTGAGTAAAACTGGAATGAAGCATCATTTGGTTCACACACTGAGAAAAAACATTTAGAAAAAATGGTAATTAATTTAAGTAATTTATTATCCTTAAGTGTTTTAATTAATGTTTCTAATTTGAAAATAATAATAATGATGACTGCTTCATAACAGCTTTCTTAATAAAATTAAACCTACTGCAACAGTTTCCTCCCCTCACACACACACATACACACACACACACACACACACACACACACACACACACACACAAGGTCAGTTATTTTGCAACAAATTTCACCGAAGTTTCAAGTGGAAGACTTAAAATTTCCAATCATAGCTGTGAGATAAATTCAGCAGCAGTTAAATCAACTCTTTGACATTTAAATGATGAAACTTGAGCGTGTTCGCTGCAGCAGCCAGAAACTCAACATCACGTTCCAACAGAAGAATTAAAGTTAGCAGAAAGTAGAAATCCTCACAGAGCAGGTGAGAGCTGCAGGGAGGCTTCAGTTTGAGAGCTAATGTGTTTGTTATCACCTGCAGCAGATGGCCCAGCAAGCAGGACACACACACACACACACACACGCACACACACGCACACACACACAGGTACAAACTACATGCATATTCCTACGTGTAAAAACTCCCAGCAGAGCAAACAGATCTGTTCATTAGCAGGATTTGTTTACTTAAAATAAAAGGACGTGCATTTGTGTGCGTGCGTGTGTGTGTGTGTGTGTGTGTGTGTGCGTGTGTGTGTGTGTGTGTGTGTGTGTGTGTGTGTGAGAAGGCAAATTAAGAAGAGAGAATATCTCAGATGTTTGGATCTCATTTTGTATTCAACGATGCATTTAATGACGGTTTTAATACATTTTAAATCTGAAATTAAGCAGCTGATTACGTTTTTAATCTGGTGGGTGAGGAGGGGACCGATGTCTTTGTCCAGCTGTTATTGGGCGAGAGGCGGGGAACATCATGGATTGGTCGAAAAACTGTTTTATCGCTTTATTGCTATAAAACACCTGGCAATGGTCAATACACTGCAAAAACATTAAATCTTACCAAGTATTTTTGGTCTTGTTTCTAGACAAAATATCTTAGTACACTTAAAAAAAGAGAAAACTAACTTAAAAGTAACTTTTCAGCAAGATAGAGGAGCTTGTTTTTCTAAATAATTCCTTAATATTGATGAAAAAGTGCAAGTTACACTGCCAGATTATTTCACTTGTAAAATGAAAGAAATGTCATTATTTAAGTGAAATAATCTACCATGAATAGAAGGGATATTTAATAAAAATAAAAAATTACCTGTTAGTTATTTTAGTCTTTTTTCAAGTGTACTAAGATATTTACACCACAAACTAGTCCAAACTTGGTCAAATTTGTGTTTTTTGCAGCGAATACGAATCTGAATTGGCAAAAATTAAGTGCTTTTTATTTGATTTAGTTTTAAAATGGTTAACTGGAATGCTGCCATATTTTTATTTCCGGCCTGTTTTTCCTGGAGAGCTGACTGCCAACCATGCAGGCTGCTGCAGTGATGCAGACTTGTTTCCTAACAACGGAAGCTGAAAAACCCAGAAATCTCCACGTTGTGTATTTTACACCAACATTCAAATCAATCTAAAACTCGATATTCTGACACTTCTTGCTGATACGTGAATGAACATGTAGTTTAGAAAGCACATTTTCCTCAACCTAGAAAATTACATAATGTTCACATTTCAGGGTAAACAAGTTATTAATGTAAACTCACAGTTGTACAAAAATAGCCGTGTACACACACGCATTTCCTCACACACACACACCGAAAGCAGCCTACGCAGTAAGAAAACAACAGAAAAACACACATCTCCACCCACACAACAAAGTTATATAGGCCACACAGAGATCCGTACACCTTCATGGTTTGTGTTAAATCCCTTCCCACAGGAAATTCTGCATTTCATGTGGCTCCTCATCAACATCCTCCGTTTCTGTGTCTTTTGTTTCCCCTCCTCCTGCTGTCCTCCTTCCAGGTCGTCGCCATCATTCGTTATTGATCTGTCCACAGGGAGGACATGTCCACCGCTGCCTTCCCTTTATTTATAGATACAGGACAGATCTCAGGGAGAGAAACAAGAAGCCTTACTGTTTCTTTGGGAAGTTTTCATCCAGTGTGGTGTTGTTGTTGCTGTGATTAAGGTGAATATCTGCGTGAAATGGATCCACTTAACAAAAATAAAGCTGAGCTCATTTGATTGTTGATCATTTTATTTTCATTTAAAATCTAAACAGTTTTCTACTTGGTGCTAAAAAAATATTTGCTATTAGATATGCATTCTTTTGCCTCTTGTTGCCTGCACTGAACAGTAATTGAACAGAAAAGAGTGTGGAGAGACAATATGAAGACATAATAACGGTCTGACACTGGGAATCCAGCCCAGTAAACATAGAAACTGTCCAGTTATTTGACTGGTTTTGTAACCATTTAACTGGGCAGGGGAGTTTTAAAATCCACTGCAGTATATTTTTTCGGGTTTGGGTGGATTTGTGCGTTCCTCTGTTCTCCCCCGTCCTCCTCTGGGTGCTCATTATGGAGGAGGTTTGTTTGATCTATTCTTTCATTTCAGTTTGAACCTGAAGCAACCGGCTCTCTGCGGAGCGTTCTGTCGACACGGCCAGTTAAAGCTGCTGCCATTACACAGACAAACAAACACTATTTCTCAGCTGCCATTATGCAAAGGAGCTGCGTCCGCATCCCCGCACCTTTTCTATCAGGCAGAATCTGCAACGATCTGCAGCGCTGCATGGATTTCTCCCTCTGCTGATCTGGGACAGCTAATCAGACAACAACAATCAGCTGAAGCTCGGTGCCCTCGGTATAATTAACAACAATAATTAGCTTCTATTTAAAGAGGTTTATTTTTGCTTAAACGTACAAGAGAAGCATTTAGTTTCAAGTGCAAATAACTCAAGGCTTCGGCAATGAAAAATATACTTTCAGTTCAGATTAGAGACGTGAGGAAAAGCAGAACACATTATTAAACAGTTTACAGCTAAAGCTGATGTGAGAGAATGTTAGACATCCAGAATGTTAAGCAGAAAGTAATTTATAATAAATCACAACCACTAAAGCTTCTCACTTCATGGTTTTGTGACACGTTTTCCAGCTTAGCCAAACAAGCTCCAGCAGCCGCAGACAGTAGATAAATCATGCTAATGACTTCACTGTTCTGTAACTGCATCATGCATGTTTATGTAAATATTCAAATGAAATATAAATCACACAGTTGGGTTTTCTTTAGTCCCACTGAATCTGTAAAAGAAGCGACTTTTAGGAATCAAAACTGAATAAAAGGAAGTTTCTTAATCACCACCAGTGATTTTCAGGCTAAAAGCTTTTCATGACACGGCAAAACTAATTTCATCCAATGACATTATTGCATGGAAAGGAAATCAGGGACGAATTCAACAAAGTTGTTTTGCCCAGTGTATGTGTTGAAATTAGAGGTTGTGCAGCCATTTCAGCAAACAATCTCATATTTAATTGAACTACGAATGCAGTTAATGGAAAATCCACTTTTATTTATGTGTATTTAAATAAATTACAGTCTAAGCAAAACGCTTCATTTTCTAAAAGGCCAGTGCTGTTCGTGATACAAAAATAAATATCAGCTGTGTTTCTGAGAAGAAAGAATTACTCCTTTCAACATGTGATTTATTAATATTATTAATAAATAATCTATTAATCTGTGTCAAAACCATTCGGAAAACATTAGTTACTTTTGTTAAAAATACAAATCTTCTGAATTCAGTAGATCCTTTTACAGTTTGTTCAGTCAACAGATGGAGATTATTGAGTAAATGTGAGTTTTTTTTAATTTTGTACAACAAAAACACAGCGACTGGTTTTCACCTCTGATTTTATTACATTATGTGTAATAAATACTGTTACATTATAACTCAAAATGGTTTTAAACTCACATTTAACTTTCACATCTAAGCACAACTTAGATGCATCTTTCATCCATCACAGCTGGACGACTCTTTGACATGTTATTTTCTTTTAATTAGCTTAATGAGCAGTTCGCTCTCATGCCTCATTCAGGGTTTTGTAAATGACACAGAATGCTAATTAAGACTGATGAACCGCCCTGAAAGCTGCAGCATCGGCTGAACTCTGCTGGAGCGTCACAAAGTACGATAAGCTAAATCCTTGTTTCTTTGTTTGGTGGGGGGCTGACACCTCCACCCATCTGCTCTGTGTTGCTTCATCACAGCAGCACAACGAGACAGAGAGAGAGAGAGACGGATAATTACATCCTCAACTGAGAGCCATGTGGTTAAATGAGTTAATACGGCTCGGTGATTTTTAATGAGCGTGTTCGTACTTCCTGTTCTGTCATTTATATTAAAATCCACTAAAGCACATTTGTTATTATGGGCTGCTTATGTGATTGTTATGCTTGTGAAATTAGAGCCATAATGCTGATGATTTCTGTTGCTTATCTCAGTTTGACGCCATATTAGAGCCATTGTAGGTAGAATAAAGGAATACATTCCCTGCAAAAAATCTCAGAAACTTCCTAGAAAAAACAAGTCAGTTTCTGAGTTCAAAAAGTCCAAAATTAAAAAAAAAAAAAACTTTGCAATTTCTGAGTTTTAAACTACAGAAATTTGCTAGAAAAAACTCCAAAATTTCGAGATTAATATCAGAAAATTTCAAGAAAAATCTTGGAAATGTGTGAGTTTTAAAAGTCAAAAACTTGGTAGAAAGATCTCAGAAATGTTAAGGTTAAAATTTTCAAGAAAAACCTAGATTACAAAGTCGAAAATGTTGGACTTTTGTAAACGTCCTTGTTTTTCATAGAAAGTTTCTGAGATAAAGTTTTTTGGTGGAAATTTAGTATCTACAATTTCTTAATATGCCATTATAATTATCTCTATCACTTATTTATTGATATTCTTATTTTGTGCAGAACAGTTGAATGTAGAATAAATACCTGCTAAAGGCAGTTTCAAGGGTTAATTGGATGGAAAATTAGACCTTTTTGCTGTTCTGAGATGCAAGCAGATGTTATTTAATCTGCTCATTTTGAGTCTGTAGACATTAATGTAGTCTTAAAAATATTTCTGTAGTGCACTTCAGAAGCAAATAATGAACACATACAAAATCTTACCAAGGTTTTTTGTCCAGTTTCTAGTGCAAATATCTTCCTCTGGCTCATAACATGGGAAAAATGTTTAGTTATGGGTAAAATAATCTGCCAGTGTAACTGGCATTTTTTTCATCAATATAAGGAATAATTTACTTAAAACAAGCCCCTGTAACTTTCACGTCAGGTTTGTCTTATTTTAGACTAAAATATTTGCTTTAGAAACTCGACCAAAATATAAAATAAGATTTAGTTTTCTTGCTGTGAAGAGTTATAGGAAACGTCTTCAGTTTAAAAATGTGGTGTGTTTTCAACTGAGCTCAGTTGAGCATTGGTGCATAAAATGATGTAATGACAAAATATTCTCTAATAAATGATACGATAAATAAATGGAAAAAGCATTTAGCATCTCTAAGGCGACTGACATGAGAACTGATGTGTGAGATTCATTAAATAAGGCCCTCAGGTAAATCAGGGACCCAGATTATAATATTTTCACCGCTTATTTCCCACCAAGTGGCTCTCTTAGGGAATCCTAAACACTAAATCTAACGTGCCTTCTCTTCAGGTACAATGCTGCTGCATTCGAGCGTTCTGATTGGCCTGCTGTGCCTGGGCCAGGCCGGCGGCGCCTGGGGTTTGGCCCGCCTGCTGGACAACGCAGAGCTGCGCTCGGCCTTCTCCGTGTCGCGCACTAACAGCATGGAAGGGGGACCGAAAATGACCGTGACCTTTGACACTGTTTACGTCAACATCGGCGGAGACTTTGATGCCAAGGCGGGATTGTTTCGCTGCCGCATCCCCGGGGCGTACTACTTCTCCTTCACGGTGGGGAAGTTCCCCCACAAAGACCTGTCTGTGATGCTGATGAAGAACAGGAACGAGGTGCAGGCCATTGTCTACGAGGAGAACGCCGGAGAGGAGAGGAAGGTAGGCTGGAAAAAACAGCTCACTTTCAGCTTACAGGTGTAAACAGAAACTGTATTTAAGCCCCATAAAGGTCTCACATTTTCAATTTAAACCTAGCAATCCAAGCTCCAGCAAGATTGGTCAGCTGGTTTTACCAATGTATGCACTGTACAATGGCTGCTGGAAAAGACATGTACTTTGTTGTTGTCTTACTTCCAGAAACCACTTGTTGCATTTTTGTTGGTTGAGCAGGAGGCTCTACTAATGCTTTTCAAAGATGTATTGTTGTCCATCTTTGCCATTTTCATGTAGGCAGAACTGAGCAGAATAAAATCTCATTGACTGAGGATGATTTTATAACCTTTTTATAACAACTGAAGGTAACATAGTTACTTGATTGTGCTATAAAGTGCCACTATGTGGCTGGAAGATACATACTGCCCTTTTATGGTTTGTGAACGTCAGGGCTCAGTTAAAGCCTTCTGTGTTTATGTTACGATGAGTCACAGAAGCTGATCCCTCTGTGATTGGATCATGTTTCTCCCCAGCTGCGATAACACCATCTGCTGAAATCCTCAGGTGCAGAGCCAGAGCGTCATGCTGCAGCTGGAGTTCGGGGACACCGTCTGGCTCCGTCTCCATGGCGATCCCCGCTACGCGCTCTACAGCAACACTGGGCACTACACCACCTTTAACGGCTACCTGATCTACCCTGACACCTACAGCTACCAGACCCACCACCACCAGCACCAGCCCGCCTACAACCCTCAGCAGGACACAGAGGACGCCAAGTCCAGGCCAGGAGACCCCGAGAAGGAGGAGGAGGAGGACGGCCAGGAGTATGATGACGAAGAGGACGACGGGAGATCCGCCTTCTCCGCGGGCCGCACCCAAAGCATCCTGGGAATCGACCAGGTGGGCATGCCGCAGCACCGGCCGATCAGCTTCGACACGGCTTTCGTCAACATCGGCGAGGACTTCAACGTGACGGAGGGCGTGTTCACCTGCCGCGTGCCGGGGGCGTACTACTTCTCCTTCAACGTGGGCAAGCTGCCCATGAAGACGCTGTCCGTGAAGCTGATGAAGAACCGCCTGGAGGTGCAGGCGATGATCTACGACGACAGCCAGGGCGAGAAGGCCCTGCAGAGCCAGAGCCTGATGCTGGCGCTGAAATCAGGCGACGTCGTCTGGCTCTACTCCCACCAGAGAGACGGATTCGGAGCCTACAGCAACCACGCCAAGTACATCACCTTTACCGGTTTCCTGGTTTACCCCGACATCAGCTCCAGCTCCCCCACCACTGCCACCACCAGCCAATCAGAAGCCGCCAAGAGGCCCTAACTACGGCTGGGTGGCAAATGACTGAGCATCCTGGGTGGGATTCATGTTCACACGTGAAAACACAACATCTTACCAAGAGGTTTTGGTCTGGTTTCTTATTACACTTGAAATAAGACAGAACTAACGGTAGCACTTTATTTGAAGGGGGGTGAATAAGCCTGACATGACACTTTCATAAACATGTCATAACACCTGTCATAAACATGTCATAACACTTGTCATGAACATGAATAAGCCTTCATGAATATTTATGACTGTTGTCATAAAGCATCATTCGGTAAATTATGACACTTTTAATACACAGTTGACATTATTCAAAATGTCTTTATGACAACTTGACATTAACCAGGAAATCATTACTGTTTAAACTTTACCTTTAATAACACAAAGTTACCTAATTTTTAAAGTGCAATCAGTAATACTTTTATAACAAATTTATATCAGTAATGATTTCTTGGTTAATGTCAAGTTGTCATAACAAAGACATTTTGAATAATGTCAACTTTGTATTAAAAGTGTCATAATTTACTGAATGACGCTTTATGACAACAGTGATAAATATTCATGAAGGCTTATTCATGTTTATGACAGGTGTTTATGACAGTGTCATGTCAGTCTTATTCAACCCCCTTCAAATAAAGTGTTACCGAACTAACTTACAAGTAGCTTTTCAGCTAAATTGGTAGCTTGTTTTCCGTAATATGTGGAATAATTCCCTGTATGTGGAATCCCAGAACCATTATATATACTTTTTGCACTATCTCCATCAAAATGTGGGATCATAATTTTAAATAACATGTTGAGGCCATGAAAGGTGTAAAATAACTTTGGTGTTCTGTTGTCTGTAGTTTAAATTTCTAACTGTTTATATCAATTATGTATAGCTATATTGTCTGCTTAGGCAGCTAATATTATGTAATATACACACTTGAGTTCATGACAAATGTCCTGTAGGGGGCAGCAAAAGAATAATCTGTTCTAATATTGATGAAAACGTTCTGGTCCTAATGGCAGATTATTTCATTTCAAACAAGACATTTAATCCATCAGTTGTACTTCTTTCTTTCTTTTTTTTTAGCAATATTCATGAATTATTGACCTAAAACAAGCTCCTATATCTTGTTGAAAAATTGCCTGCAAATTAATTTAGCCTTAATTCAACTTGTACTAAGATATTTGCTCTAGAAACTGGGCGAAACTTCTTGGTAAGATGTTGTGTTTTTGTCACAGAGGGTATCAGGAATAATTCCTTCTCAAAGTCACAAGAGTTTTGGACTCAGAACCTCAGAGAAAATCTATTTAGTTTATAGCTAATGGCTTCCCATGTCAGGAGTCCATCTCACTTGAATGTGAATATTTCACTCTATAATGAAAGTTCCACTGCTTGTTTGATCACGCACAAAAGTTGCAAAAGTAAGAAAATCAAAATTAGCCCCGCTTCAAAATAACCTGCCAGCATAATTTAAATGAGATCAAGAAAAAGTGTTAGCATTGGTGGTGGGCACCGCTAGCTAAAATGTTAGCTGTGCTAACCCTAAGGAGCTAATCATAACCCTTCTGCTCCTGGTGAAGTGCTACACCAGCACGGTATTTAGAGGGAGCTAATGCTAAAGCGCTAACGTCAATTCATATATCTGCCCTTGAAAGACTACAGCGCTCAAGCACCAATTAAATTTGACATTATAATTTACTTATTCTATAATTATATGTTATTTAATGTTTATGTTTTTCTCTCAATTTCCATTTTTTATTTTGTTCCTCTACGTTTTTTGTTTGAAATAAAGTTGGGGGAGAAACTGACCATGAGGAAAGGAAACAGTTGCTTAAACAGTCTTCCCCCACTTCAAAATAAGAGCATGAATATAAATATCCAACTACTTGAAGAATTTTAAACTGTCTATGACTAAAACTTCAAGACATGTTGAACTTTATTTAAACTTTCCCAAACAGCCAAATAAATTATCCCTTTAGAATCTAAATAAATTTAGGGGAAGTGTGCTAAATGTTTTCAAAGTCAGCAAAAGTGATAAATGAAACATTAGCTGTGCTATTAGCAGACTGGCAGAAGGGTGCCCACCACTGGTCAGCACAAATATCATCTATCTGCACTTTACCAGATAATTAATTCTGGTGAAATTAATTAGTTGGGTTCAATCTAATTAAATACAAACTCAAACCAATCTGGTTGCAGTTTTCTATAACAGATCAACATTAACTATCAACAAAACCACAAATGAAGTCTTGAAATTCCAAGTAAATTTAAGTGACACTAAAATGATAATCTGATGTGCTTAATTGTTACGGACTCTATCCACAACTGTACAATAAAATATAAAGTAAAGTTTATTTTAGAAGCTTCTAATGTGACTTCATGTAAAAACTTCAACTAAGCTAGCCTTAAATGACAAGTTTGGTTGAATCGTGAGTGAAAAGTCTCATAAAAATGCAGTAAAAATAAAGCATTCTCTCCAAGGTTGAAATCGTGAAATAGATTCACCAAAGAGTTGGACATTCATAAATGCCCATTTGATCTGATCATTTCTGCAAAGTAATTCAAAGCGGTTTAACCTTCAGTGGTTTGATAAAGGCAGATAATCAGAATTTTCATTCTCTACTGAAATATTCCTTCAAATGTTGGCTTCCTGTCAAACATTTGGTGTTTCTGCTTGTAAGTAAGACGTCTCTCTACTTGTTTTGTCATTAACCGCATGTAAATTACTGTGAACCGTGTTGGGTTTTTGTGTCAAAATGAGTGTTTTCTTTCCAATATTTGGGAGCTCGATGTTGTCTCTCGGTGGCAGCCGGAGCGAAGGATCCCAGGACAGAACTGACACAGATTTGGAAGAAGAGCACGACGCCGTATCCATACAACTGTTGACCACATGCCTCCTCCAAGCCTGCGGGGATCTGGGACATAATTTGATTTCTAATTCTAGCAGCATTTATTTCACGTCTTCAGACAGAGCCCACTGTGGGGAAAATTGAATTGCTTCTCCCAGGCTGCAGTGATGTGCATATCTAATTTCACACCGCTGGGAATAAGATTATACAGTTCAAACTGTCATGAACCCTTCGCTTATCAAACAACCCTGTCCTCTGGAGGACCGCGGGGGTTCAACTTTAGTTTTGTTGAATGTTTAGATGTTTTTATTACATTAGTTGAAAATTTATGAGAAGCAAATGGTGGAAAATTTATGAGATGCAAAGCTCTGACTTTACTCCAGTCAGTCAGTACTTGGCAAAAGAAAAGTGAGTTAGAGTTAAGAATCAGCAGCGGGGAAACATGTTGGGAGAGCGTTCCACAGATCTGCAGGAAACTGTTCGAAAATGTATGTTTGATATGCAAATCTCACCCAGTTTTAAGTGAAGCGCCATTTCCAAATCAGGCTGGAAAAAAATTGCTTGGTGTGATTCCTGTTAGAAACCGAAAAGGCAGGAACACCAAAGCAAACCACTGAAAACTAATTTCCTCTGGATGTATTTGACAGAAGGAGTGGACCAAACATGAAAACATCTTTACGTCTAAAGCTTGAAAATATGAATTTTCCAGTCTCACTAATTGCTGATTTCCAAAGCTTTAAGGCGGCAGCGACTTTCAGGAAACAAACTTGTGGTTATTTTTCTCTCCCAGAAAACTCTGAGTTTCTCCTTTAGTCTCAGAAGAAAACTCTCAGCCGCAGTGTGAAAGCGGGGCAGATTGATTCAGTCGGCCCGGCAGCTCAGGAAATCATGTTTGTTCTGTCCACAACCCTCCAGAACCCTTATGAGTCCTACAGAACCCTTCAGAACCTCTCCAGAACCACCTAGAACCCCTGCAGAACCTCTAGAACTTCCAGAACCCTCCAGAACCCTTGGCGTAGCGCTCAGAGACTTGTGTTATGCATGCATGTAACTGAAAACAAACATCTGAAGAGAAATGCTTTCTCCTGATCGCATGTCCAGCTTCAGAGGTCGGCAGACGCCTGCTGTGTGTGTTATGTGTACAGTTCCTGTTTCTGATGCTTTAGGTCAAAAATTGTGTATTTAAAAATATATATATTTAATATTCAGATACGAGTCAAAACGTGGTTCAGTTCCAATTTCTACAGTTTTCAAAACAGTTTTGTCGTGCCAGAAAAAAAAAAAAAACCTGGATGATATTTTGACTCTTGCTGTCTTCTGTAGTCTGCCTCCAACTATTTGAAATGTTAAACGGATTTTTACATGTAAAGTGAATGCGACAAAATAAAAAATAAAAAACATTCGTTGAAATAAACGAGAGGACAAACATCTTGGACTGTCCTGGTTTTATTCTGCAGCGCCACCTGGTGTTTGTGTGATTTCCCTGCATTGTTTTTAGATCCAGAAGTAAATAAGTACCAATAATATTACTTTTAGTTTCTCACATATAATAATAATAATAATAATAGTAATAATAATAATAATAATAATAATAATAATAATAATAATAATA